TTTACATACAATCAAAACACTAATAAATTTATTAATATACAAAATAAGAAAAGGGCAACTTATTTACTTTATAAAGCTACATAGTCAAATTGTTAAAATATGCATTAATAAGGAAGAAGCATTGCAGAGTAAATTAAAGTAAATAATGCTGTAATGAACTGCTGCCAAAAAGAATAATGGGTTATATTGCGTGAAAGTAACTTTTGGTTAAAGTTTACTAGGTAACATTCTGAATACACTTTGAATACAATATACTGATATTTTAAATTAATATTTTTACATGTCAAAATACGAAAAATTATTAAGGAAAAATTTTATTTTTAAATAAGGCCGCAAATAAAGAAAAGTAAAAAAGAAAAGTACAACCGAAGAGTCCAGAGATAATACTTTACAGAGATCACAAAATGAAAATAACCGAATAAGTAATATATACAGATGGTATTTGTATGTAAATAACGCATTCAACAACTAGATATTAATTAAAATCTTACATTATTGAAAATAATAATTACTCTAATTAATATTAATAATAATAGTAATAATAGCAATTAGTTGCGTATTCTATACATCCCATGCATTGAATAAACGGATAGGAATAATGATACAGTAATAATAAATACTACGGGAAATTATTAATTAATCCTCGGTACTGGAAAAGACGTAATTCACAGCTCTACTGATGTCGAAATCAGCAGCCAGGGCTATTTCGACTAATTTATCGGTACTAACGACGTCGCCACAAATATCTCGTAACTGAGCAACAAAATTGTCCATTCGAGAACATGTGCCCTTCAGTTAAAAAGGAAATGTTGTATTACTGATACCAATAATGTGAACTTAATCATTGAAATTTTAAATTAATCACTTGTGTTAATTTCGTATAATTGGGAAGAAAAGACCACTTCCAAAAAAGAATTTGTCTCTACAGTTAGGACTTTAAAAATGTACATACTATTTCACATTTCACATTCGAGTAAAAATTGGAACACAATCGTGGGAATATGAATTTGAAAATATTTTAACGTGAATTCCTTTTGGCTCCTTATAAGAGATTTTAGTCAAACATTTCATTAATGTGGAAACGCTGGTAGTGAGTTATTATTTTATAGAGATAGAAATTTTGCTTACCTCATTTACGAAATCGGCAAAATCGGGTTCGGACTCGCAGTATTTGTAATTATAGCCTGTAACGTTTTTCTTTGGCGTTTGCGTCCACACGCAATCGAAAACTTCCGCCTGCAAGGACACGGGCAGTTCATAAAAAACTTCGCTTTCCGTCAAATCGTTATGTTGAAATATGAAGAACAGGCATGCTTTCTGAAAGGAGAAAACGTAATCATTACATTTAGATTAATTGGAACCTGATAAAACATGGATTTTCTGTTTTCTCTTAAACGAAGAATAACACGTACCTTCAAATTGTTAGCGTTGTACTGATCGGCAACACTTAACAAGTATATAACTGAATCTTCATCTATGTTCGTTTCTAAGGCGCTTTCACACATTTGTTTTAAAGAATCACACTCGTATCTGTCACTTAATAGCAACAATTCGCACAACTGGTCTGTAGAAAGGGACTGTTTCAGTCTGCCACTGTACAAATACTCCAAGAAAATTTTAAATAGGAAATCATTAGTGTCGTATATGTGTATTTTTCTACAAATTTATCATAGAATAAGTAAAGTCCCGAATTTTTTTTCAATGTACCAAAAACTTACTTATCAATGGCTTCCTTCATACCCGACAACAGAGCCCTTCTGAACCAATCACATCGAGCTGCCACTATTACTCGATGAGCCTTTAAAGTGCAAACATTTTGATCAGGCACACCAGATTCTTTTTCGCTGACGTCCTGGGCATTTGCGCAAACTATTACTTTAAACTCCATATCAGTACTATCTTCGTCATCCATTAATTTGGCAGCGAGTTTTGAAAGGTCACTTTCGGAAGGTGGAGGAGGAACACATAAAGATTCCACCAGATTGAGCTTCAAAACATAACATTTCAAAAGAAATTTGATTTTTTATACTTATTATACATGTACCATGCATCCTTGAGAATTTTGTGTTTGACTTGGGGAGTTCAATGGTTTCTGACAGTTATCACTGCTAGCACTTTCCTTGTTATTGTCCAACAAGCCTAAAATTTGCAAAGATTGAATAAAAGCATCCCTCTGAATTAAATCGCACAATTGCACCATAACATCTTGCATCATTTCGCGATGCGCTACTAGCCTCTGAAGGACGCCGGCCTACAAACGTGTAATTTTACAAATTTTCTAAATGAAAAATCTACAAAAACAGTTTACAAACCACTTTGCTGGTGCCGACTTTAAAACAGAATTTAAATTCTTTCCAATCTAATTTGTCATCAAGCATTACTGAAATTTCCTCTAAACGCAAAAGAAAGAAAGGTAACTCTTCAAAAACTTGCTCTAGATTTCGTGCCACAGATCGTACTTTTTGCGACTGAGACAATTCTTTAAACGTTTCTCTGAAAAATTACTCGTTTTTATACAAATAGACCTTTTTGTACATTAATGTAAGCTTACTTTTTGTGTAATAATAGACTTATACCAAAAGTAACGTACTCGTAAACGTCTTTTATTTTATTTAATTCCCGAATATGTAAAACGTTTTTTAAGGATCTGCCCAGTAAAAGCAAATCTACTCCCGAACGTTTCTTTGGTTCATCTTGAGGCGAAATCACTTGTAATATTTGTTGTAAAGCCTTTTCAATTTCTACCACGACAGATGAAATAGTATCCAATATCACTTCAACCTAATAGGGAAAAATATAAGTTTATCGACAAAAAAATTAATAATTTTGTTTTACCTCAGGTACAATGTAAGCAGCAATTTCGTGTCGCTGGGTTGACGTCATACCGTTGAAGGTAGACTTAACAATATGTAAAAAGTTTTGTAATTGAGACATAAATATAGGTAACCGTGACTTTGCGTATTGAATGATTTCATGACGCTCTTCCTTAGACAATTCTCCTTTTCGTTTTGTAAAAAGATCACAAAGTAAGAGCAACTTCACTGCCGCTATGAAATTTAGAAATGAACATTTACTAAATTCTTCATTTTCACATTTGAAATTGTATTATAATATTTACCAACAGCTGCATCCCTTATTGACTGTTTCACCATAAAACATAATTTTGACGCGTTTGAGGTAATATTGTCAGTTGAACCATGGCATGCACTGAAATGTCCAATCATTTGATTTATGCTTTGATGCATGTCATTCACCAGGCTTATTATTTCTAGAACATGAAATGATTCTTAAGAACGACGCAAGAATTCATAAAGAGAAAACTTACGCCCTTTTAGAGCCATATTTTTCAAATACAGTTCACACATTGACACAAGTTTGCTAAGGCAAGGGTACTGTTTACTGACATCAATAACTTTTTGAATTGTTGCTTCGCTCACTGAATATGGCAAACATTCTGCATAAAAGAAATGCAATATCGTTCCCAAAACATCTTCAGGGAGTCCACTAAATGGAATTGGAACTGTATCCCAACTTAAGTCTTTTCCAAACAATTTTAATACAATGGAATGTACCTTAAACTTCCATAACATATAAAACTACATGATTATTGTTCAGGACAACATTACAAATATGATACCTCTTTTTTATTAGATGCAACTATGATCATATCAGAAAAATAACCATCTTCTAAAGCCGGCAATAAAGAGAAGGGAAACTTTGGAAAGTGATCAATAGATTCATCTGCTATTCGTTTACATTTAAGCAGTACACCCCAATTTTGACATGTAAGAGTCATTTCATCTTTAACTTCATTCCATTCACACTAGAAATCAGTTATATTATAATCACAATCGAATACTTAAAATTAGGGTACAAACACTAAATTCAATTATATGTCCTGAATATACTCCAAAACATAGTATAAGATTGTCATAACTTTTATGAACTTCAAATGTTTCACAGCTAAAAAGGGGCACTGGGTTAAGTTCTTCTGGAACAGTCCAAGTTACATCTCCAGAATCGTCTAGTTTAAATGTTACCCTGAAATGAAATAATCATGCATTTGCTTCTATACTTTTATACTTTTCTTACCCTTTTATAGAAAGACATTCGTTCTGACTTGTGCGAATTTCACTGTATTCACTTATCTAGAAACAATTAGAAAAGCAAATATATAACAATATAATTTTACACATTTTTGCAAAAAGCACAGTACCTCCCAAACTCCAATGAAAAATCCAGCCATAATTTCATATCAAAATTGGTTTGGAAAAGAAAATATTTTCATTAGCATTCAAATAAAACCACTTTTATCCATTTATTTAATAATTCTTGACAGTTAAATTGTAGGTTATAAATAAATAAATAATTATTTGTCAATGTTCAAGGTCGTAGTCAAAATTATGGCAAACATCGATTTTAACTAGTATTTTATNCATCGATTTTAACTAGTATTTTATATATTTGTTTTCATTGTACCTTAAATAATTTCCTTTGAATATTCAATTCAGTTATACAATCGCGATATTTTAATTAACCATATTAAAACATATCGGGTGATATTAATTTAATCATTATTTTGAAATAAATAATTCGATCTTAAGAATTAGATGTAGGATATGAATTAATCGAAGACTTCTAAACGTCAAATTAGTGTAACCTCACTTATTCTTTCCAGTACAAGTACAAATGTTTTAACGTTATAATTATTTTATTTTTAACATATTTAATAAAACGAAATTACTTGAAGTATCTACTGTGCTTAAAAGCGGAGCAATTACAAAAATAATAAAATAATATGGAAAACTGTCGCCAATTACGGTAAAGTTTAAAGGTCAAGAGCGGACGTTTCTACCAAGATATTGTAAAAGGTCATGTTCCTTATCATTTGCAATTCAAATTGAGTTAAAATGATGACAAGACAACCTCTTAGGTGTAAAATCGGTCCATCTATTTTAAATTCGGATTTGTCTCAATTGTATGTGGAATCCCAAAGACTGTTAGATAATGGAGCAGATTATTTGCATTTGGATGTTATGGATGGTCATTTCGTACCTAATTTAACTTTCGGTCATCCGATAGTTAAGTGTTTAAGAAATAAAATTAAAACAGCATTTTTTGAGACTCATATGATGGTCTCTAATCCCGAACAGGTGAGACTAAACATAACATCCTTTTTCTATTACATAATACGACACTGTTATAGTGGATTGAACCTATGGCAGATGCTGGAGTTAATTTATACACATTCCATATAGAACCTGTAAAGGAAATTCCAAAGACTTGTAGAAAGATAAGGGAAGCTGGAATGAAAGTTGGATTGGCATTAAAGCCAGCAACTGGTATTGAGGATGTTAGGCAGTTTATAGACTTAGCTGATGTAATATTGATAATGACTGTTGAGCCGGGATTTGGAGGGCAAAAATTTATGAAAGATATGATGCCAAAGGTGCAGTGGCTGAGACATAATTATCCACTTTTAGATGTTGGGGTTGATGGAGGTGTAGGGCCCAATACAATTACAGCATGTGCTGAGGTAGAAGTAGTTAATTAATTCGTTTCAATTTTTGTGTTTGATTTTAATTTATTTTAGGCTGGGGCAAATATGATTGTGTCTGGTACAGCAGTAATTAATTCTAGAGATCAAAGATCTGTCATAGCAGGTCTCCGAGAGGTGGTAGAAAGTTCTATTCATAAATGCAATGTTTAATCAGTTCAAAAAATTGTTGCAAAAAACATTTATAAAGGTCTTTGCTCAATACAACATTATCAGTTTCCTTATATTTTGGCATGTATGTTAAAATTTTAATCCATTAATGATGTTTTGTTTTTGTTAAATTTTAAATAATTAGACATTCCTTTTACATATTCTTGTTTTGATGGATGAGAAATATCAATAGCAATTTTGTCAATTTTTAATATATTTTT